TGGGAATAGGTAAATCTGACAGTCAGTGCTGTGCTGTGGCTGTAGGAACTCAGACCCCAAAGTTGGGGAATCAGAGATCCCAAATCTCTGTGGAGAGATCCTTGTGTGGATTCCTCAGTGCCCCAGGGTCTGTAACATCCCTTCTCTCACTGCAGCACTGCCCTGTGGGATAGCACAGGGAACACCTTCCTTTTGGAAAATCCTGGTTCTGAGCTTGTTTGGGCTCCTCCTGGCACTGCCAGCCCTCACTGACCCTCAGCTCCTTTAGCATCCCTGCAGTGGGAATTGTTTCAGGAGCAGCCTGGGAAGGGGCACACGCTGTTCCCTTCCCCTCTTGGACCTCTTTGGGACCAGTTGCTTTTTAATTTCTGTTCTGTGGGGTTGTTCAAAGCTGCCAGCTGGACACAGGTGAGGGGGATCTGTTCAAACCTGGATACAGGTGAGCAGGATCTGTTCAAAGCTGGGCACAGGTGAGGGGGATCTGTTCAAAGCTGGACACAGGTGAGGGGGATCTGTTCAAAGCTGGGCACAGGTGAGCAGGATCTGTTCAAAGCTGGATACAGGTGAGCAGGATCTGTTCAAAGCTGGGCACAGGTGAGGGGGATCTGTTCAAAGCTGGACACAGGTGAGGGGGATCTGTTCAAACCTGGATACAGGTGAGCAGGATCTGTTCAAACCTGGACACAGGTGAGGGGGATCTGTTCAAGGCTGGACACAGGTGAGGGGGATCTGTTCAAAGCTGGACACAGGTGAGCAGGATCTGTTCAAGGCTGGATACAGGTGAGGGGGATCTGTTCAAAGCTGGGCACAGGTGAGCAGGATTTGTTTAAAGCTGGGCACAGGTGGGCAGGATCTGTTCAAAGCTGGACACAGGTGAGGGGGATCTGTTCAAACATGGATACAGGTGAGGGGGATCTGTTCAAAGCTGGACACAGGTGAGCAGGATTTGTTTAAAGCTGGATACAGGTGGGCAGGATTTCTCTGCTGCAGTCTGCAGGGAACCAGCATCACCCTACAGCCTTTTAGCCCTGGCAGCTGCTTCCTCTTTTTCCAGATGATTCCAGCAGCTCTTTTTGTTTAGCCCATTGTCAGACAGCATCACAAAGACCCGGGGTGTTCATTCTGCCATGGTTCAGGGAGTGGAGCTGCTGAAGGGAGGAGCTGCAGGTGCTCCCAGAGTTTGTGCCTTTCCCTGGAATCCCTGGTGGGATGTCAGAGCTCCCTCCTGGCTCTGCAGCAGCCAGCAGAGAGGGGAATGAGCCAGAGCAAAGCTCTGGAGGTGTGGGGCAGGGGTGGTGGGGAGGCACAGCCCTTCCCTGCAGGGCTCTGCTCCATGCTCAGAGCTCTGGGTTCTGGGGCTCAGAGCAGAGATAACAAATGGATTTACCCCAACAGCTCCCAAGGGCCTGGCTGCTGAACAGAGCAGACTCAGGGTCCTGCAGGCAGGATCTGGCTGTGGCTGCTTCAGCAGAGCTGCAGTGCTGTGCTCTACCAGCACATTTAGAGAATTCCCTGTTCTCCCTGGGACTGGCCTGTCACTGGCTCACAGGGCAAAGAGGGAAAAGCCATTTCCCTCAAAAAAAACCATCTGGTTTTTAAAAGAATTATTTCATTTCACTGCTCTAATTTGGGACCAGCACAGCTGAGGGGCTGTAACGTGGCTGTAAATGGGGTGGCAGGAGCTTCTTAAACCAGAGCAGCTGCCAGAGCATCTCAGCATGGAGCTTCTGCTGGGAGAGGAGAGAGGATCTGCCCCAAACTGCCCCAAAGTGCCCCAAACTGCCCCAAAGTGCCCCAAACTGCTGACTCCAGGCTCTGCCTCCCCCCTGGGGACATTCCTGGGGTGTCTCTGCTGGGCACCCAGGGGTGGGGAGGGATCCTGGCTCAGGTCAGGAGGATTGAGCTGTTGTGCATCTCCAATCCCAGCAGCTCAAGGTGGTTTTTGAGAGGGCTCAGACAGGATGGGGAGGTTGGGTTGTGTTGCTGCCACATCCAGATGAGTTCCCAGGCAGACCCTGAGTGTGAACAGGGCAGGGAGGAACGTGTGGAGCTTCCAGTGGGAAACAAGCACAGAAAATCCCTTCCACTTCTCTCAGCTGCAAAGTGGTGCCAGGAGCTGTTTCAGAGCCTGGATTTCAGTGGGAGGGGGGTTGAGCTGCACCTCTGAGTGTGCATCAGGAGAATCTGCACAGGGAAAATGCAGAGCACAGAAAGTAGGTCTGGCTGCTGGCTGTCACTTCCGTGCAGATCAAGTGTGTTGTGGAAATCTTTGTGTGTCTCTTAAAAAAACAAACAAAACAGCAAAAACAAATACAAGAGCATCTGCTTGTGTATAAATATACCTGGGTTTTTGGTTTTTTTTTCTGATTTTGTAGTTCCCATTACAGCATATGCCAGTTTTTCTGGTGTGCCAAAGAGCAGGAACATCTCCAGGAAATGCTCAGGTTACAGCACCCAGATAAAAGCTGCCTGTGCCACCTTTATAGAGATACAGCCAGCTTAGTCCTGCAGAGGACAAATGCTCTGGGGAACTTGTGGTTACCAGACTTTTATCCCTTCTTTTGATGTGTTTTGCCCAACCCTGTGCTGGCTGGAGGGTGGCTGTTGAGACAGCACCGGAAGCTGAGCAGTGATTTGCTGAAAACTCTGCTTGGGCAGGGGGTAAATAATGTGATTTTGGGTTTTTTTTCCAGTGACCACCCTTAGATACCCTCAAGCACTGGTTTGAGCTGGGAGGAAGGGGCAGGCACCTCTGGGAGGGGAGCAATGCCAGTGAGCCCCAGCAGAGCTGATGGGACTGGGTTTGTTGTTGGTTAAAGACAGACCTTAGTACAGCAGGAACAGAAAATCCTATTTCTGTGCCAACAAAACCTCTGCTCCCACAGTTGCTGTTATTGGCAAACTGGGTGTTTTTGGAGAAGGATTTACAGGCAAGCACTGGATGCTGAGAGAGCTTCATCTGCTTGCATTTTGCTCTGGTTGCTGTGGGACTTTGTGCTCCATCCCTGCGCCCTCCCCGTGTTATCCCAGAGCTGCAGCAGGGACAGGCAGTGCCCTCCTGCTCAGACCCTCCTTTCTGAGCAGGGAATCATTTCTTGGGGTCCCACTTTGCCCCCAGCTCACGGGGATGCTGCAGGCTGGGTTTGGCAGCCAGGCTGGCTCAGTGTGGGCAGCAGGAACACAGGGCCTGAGTGCTGCAGAGGGATTGAAAGAAGCCTCTCCCATAAATGCCATTACACAAACATGCTTGAGCCCCTGTTTAATTGCTCCCCAAGAAAAGGGGAATTCCTCAGGGCACTGCTTTTGTCTGAGTCAGAGATACCCCAGTGCCTCGGGCGTCCTCTCTGCACCCACAGGGGCTCCTCTGTGCCCTAATATTGGGCTTCAGGTTCCTCTGAGATCAGTTATCCCTGCAGGAGGCAGGGCTGTGTGCCAGGCAGGGATTTCAGCTGGCAGAGCCCTCGTGCCATGCAGAGCTCACAGGCAGCTGGCCCTGCCTCCCTGCCTGGTGCCCCGGGCATTTCTGCCCTCTGCTCCATGGGAAGGATCCTTCTGCAATTGGGGATCTTCCCAAGGAGGTGTCAGTGGCTGCTTCTCCGCTGGGCAGGTGATGGAAGGAGGGCAGGGACCCCCAGAGGTTGTTTTGTGTGGTGTGGGGTTGCTCTGAACCAAATAAATGACCATTGTTCAAGGGCCCAGAGGCAAAACAGGAATGTTTCTCTTTTCCCTCAAAATTGTCCCTCCTTTTAGGAGTTTTTGGTCTGAAATCACCGGCTGCAAATCCTCAACAATCCTCAACCTTGGAATGTTTAGTGGTTTTCTGAAAACCTCAGGTTCCTGGTGAGGTGCAAAGTGAAGCAATAAACGGTCCAGAAAAGCTGATTTTGGGCTTCCCCAGGCCCTCAGTGCAGCCATTCCCTGAGGGGTCCCACAAGGTAACCTGAGCACAGCCAGCCCAGCCCAGCTCACAAGCACCAAATGTTTAATTCAGTGTTAATTAAAGTTAAAACCAGCCTGTCAAAGCCCATTAAAATTGCAGGTGGCCCTTGGTGCCTGTCAGCCCGGCTCTGTCACAGGCTGGTGGCACAGATGTGGCACCCTGGCAGTGCCTGCAGTGTCCTGCCAGGCTGGATCCTGGTCCCCCCAAACTCGGCCTCTCCATGGTGCTGCTCTCAGCTCCTGAGGATGTGCCTGCATTGTCTGGGCTGCTCTGGCTGCTCTGTGCTTCCTCTCCATCTCCTGCTGGGTTTAGCCCCAGCTCCTGAGGCTCTCCCGGTGGGAAGGGGAGGTTTGCACACAGCTCAGGGCTGAGCCTTGGGTGGTGTTGCTGTGCCCAGCTCCTGGCACAGGCACATCCCAGCCCTCAGCTCGGGTCAGCAGCTCCCTGGGCAGTTCCCAAGGAGAACTCATGCACAAGTGCAATTTGAAAAGAGATTCAAACCTGTGACAGTGCTCACAGGGATCTGAGGATGAGGGAAGAGATGAGGATCTGACTCCATGTTTCAGAAGGCTGATTTATTATTTTATGATATATATTATATTAAAACTATACTAAAAGAATAGAAGAAAGGATTTCATCAGAAGGCTGGCTAAGAATAGAGAAGCAAGAATGATAACAAAGGTTTGTGTCTCAGACAGAGTCTGAGCCAGCTGGGCTGTGATTGGCCATTAATTAGAAACAGCCACATGGACCAATCCCAGATGCACCTGTTGCATCCCACAGCAGCAGATAACCATTGGGTACAGTTTGTTCCTGAGGCCTCTCAGCTTCTCAGGAGGAAAAATCCCAAGGAAAGGCTTTTTCAGAAAATATCATGGCCACACAAACCCATTTCTGCAGCCTTCAGGTGAGGCTGAGGAGTGAAGTCCATAAACACCAAAAGTATGGAATCAGTGGGAATTGCAGGTGTGTCCTGTGAGAGGGGCAGCTGCTGGAGCTGGAGAACAGCTGCCCCTTTCCTCTCAAGCAGCCAGCTGAGCTTTGTTTCCTTGCCTTGCAGTCCTTCCAGGGCAGCCAAGGACGAGCTTACCTCTTCAACTCCGTGTGAGTACCCAGCGCGCGGGGGTGACCCAGCAAAACCATCCTGAAAAAGGGAAAAAAACCCCAATTTCCTTCAGAAAAACCCTGCCTGGGAGCAGGGAACTTCCTGCAAATGGCTGGAGAAAGAGGCAGAAATAGCCCCTGATTCATATTTGAGTCGTGTAGGGGTTTCAGATAAGCAGCAAGGAAAAGGTGAATTTTTTCGTCATCGGGTTGAGAAATCAGAGCTAATGGCTGAGTCATTCTCCTCTCCCAGGATGGAGTGGGACCAGAGAGCCAGAGTTTTGTAAATGTGGAGATAGATGATATCTAAATATGCACTTCATAAAAACTAAGCATCGTTTTCCCAGTGGCTGGAAATAGTTTTGGGGAGGTCACTGCTGGTCTGGTTTCAGCAGAGCTGCTGATTTCACTCACATTTTTCAATTTTCCATTTGGGAAAGTAAAAGCACCATTTTATCAATTTGAGAATGAAAACCTTTCTCAAATGCCTAATTAGCACAAGTGACTGGAGTGTTATTAATCTCCTGCTCAAAGCTTTCATTGAGTTTTTTAGTTGAATAAAAATCCCACTTTACCTTTTCATTCTGCTCTGGAGCTGCCAGAGAGCTTTGTTTGGGCACAGCTGGGAAACTCAGAACCTCCTGCTCATGTTTCCAAACACTGCAGTGCAATCTTTGTCAGCTTTATTGGAGCATCTTGATGTGGGAAGGCCCTAATGGAGCATCTGTGCTTTGTCCCAGAGTGAACGTGGGCTGTGGCCCTGCAGAGGAGCGGGTGTTGCTAACAGGACTGCACGCCGTGGCAGATATTTACTGTGAAAACTGCAAAACCACGCTGGGCTGGAAATATGTGAGTATTTGTGTCCCTGCCTGTGCCCCTGGGCAGCTTTGCTGCAGCTGAGGGGGTGGAAAGGTCATTTTGGGAGCCCAAAAAAATGCAGGTTTTCATCTGTGACCATCTGGTTTCCTCCTGCCTTTGTGTGTGTTGCATTTAGAGAATCAGCTTTGTTTTTTAGCTTTATTTTCACTAACTTTATTTTATTTACACCTGGTTTTGGTGGGTCCCCCTCAGTGACATTTAACATAAATGAGGATAATTTCAGTCCTGTGGTTCACACTGTCCTTTTTCTATTATTCTGGTAGATGTTATCAGAATAACAGAATGCTCCATTAATCCTGTGTCCTTCCCACTGGAAATGCTGTTGAACACGAGTTTATCTGTTTGCTCTTCAAAAACTCAATTACCTTCCAATAAAATCCAATTTTACATCCTAATTTCTGCTTCTGGAGGCCCACATAATTTTGTCCAAACGTTTTCACCAGTGCCTGAGCTGGTGCAGGATTTAAGCTTCTAGAAGTAGGGTTTAGGATTCTAGAAGCAGGGTTTAAGAATCTAGGAGTGGAATTTCAGTTTCTAGAAACAGGATTTTGGATTCTAGAAGCAGGATTTAAGATTCTATAAGTGGGATTTAAGGTTCTAGAAACAGGATTTGAGATTCCAGAAGCGGGATTTTTGTCTTCTGGACTCACAATTTAGGATTCTAGAATCAGGATTTAGAATTCCAGACACAGGATTTGGGATTCCAGAAGCAGGATTTAAGATTCCAGAAGCAGGATTTAGGGTTCTAGACTCGATGTTTAAGATTCTAGAAGCAGGATTTAGGGTTCCAGCAGCAGGGTTTAATATTCCAAGACTTGGGATTCCAGAAGCAGGGTTTGATATTCCAGGATTTGGGATTGCAGAAGCAGGATTTGGGATTCCAGAAGCAGAGTTTAGGATTCTAGAAGCAAGATTTAATATTCCAGAAACATGATTTAACATTCCAGAAGCAGAATTTAGGGTTGTAGAAGCAAGATTTAATATTCCAGAAGCAGAATTCGGGATTCCAGAAGCAGGATTAAGTATTCTAGACTCGCTATTTAGGATTCTAGAAGCAGGATTAAGTATTCTAGACTCGCTATTTAGGATTCCAGAAGCAGGATTTTTAGGATTCCATAAGCAGAATTTCAGATTCTAGGAGCAAGATTTAATATTCCAGAAGCAGAATTTGGGATTCCAGAAGCAGGATTAAGTATTCTAGACTCACTATTTAGGATTCCAGAAGCAGGATTTTTAGGATTCCATAAGCAGAATTTCAGGTTCTAGAAGCAAGATTTAATATTCCAGAAGCAGAATTTGGGATTCCAGAAGCAGGATTTAAGATTTTTCCCCTCACAGTTTTCCACAGAGCCCACAGGAGGACCAGGACCTGCAGTTGGCTTTGTGGGCAAGGCTCAGGCTTGCACCGGCATTCCCAGATCTGATCCAGGACCCGATTCCCACCAAACACCACCTCAGTCTCACTCTGCTCTCGATTTCATTTCAGGAACACGCTTTTGAAAGCAGCCAGAAGTATAAAGAAGGCAAATACATCATTGAACTAGCTCACATGATCAAGGACAACGGCTGGGATTGAGCAGAGCCCGGCCCAGCAGTGCCAGAGATGCCACCCAACCGAACATTGTACCCAAGAGTGAGAGAGTGACTGAACGCTTGGTTCCATGCATTTAGAGGCTCTGCAATCCTGGAGCATCTTCACACCCTTCTCCATCTTTATTGGTGACTGGCCTCTAAATTTCTGTCTCTCTGTCTCTTTGCTTTGTATCTGTTTGTGAGTTGACCCTGGCTGCTTCTCTCTCTGTTCTGTTGGCTCAGAGAATGCACCGAATGCCCGACAGCCATTCCATGTGCCCAGAGCTCCACCCAGCCTGGCCTGGGCTCTCCTGGCACCTCCCAGGTGCTGCCAACGCCGAGGTTGGGCAGGAGAAGGTGGGACAGGGGTGGGGCCTGCAGGGGAACCATCAGAGGGTGATGCTGTGCTTCTCCTTTCAGTCCTGGGTAAGCAAGGCTTGAAACCATCTCCTTGTTAAATGGACAGAGAAAAACATCCACTTGTCTAAATGGATGGAGAAATATCCACTTGTCTAAATGGATGGAGAAATATCTCCTTGTCTGAAAGGACAGAAGTTACCTCATGGTTGTGTTTTCTCTCCAAATCCATCGGTGGAGCCTCAGCCCGAGCTGGCTGAGCCCAAGGCAGAGCCAGTTCCCCCCACAATCTGTGTTTTGTTTGCTGTTTATGAACTCCTTGTTGCAGGGGGCAGGGCTGGAGGCTGGAGAGATTCCTGCCTCTCCTTTTCCTCGCTGGTTCAGGGTAGGGAGGCTGAAGGTCCCAGCTGAGCACGGCCCTGGGGAGCATCCCCATGGCTGGAGAAACCAAATCCTGACCTGTGAGCCCTTCAGAGAGGAGGAGAAAAGCACCTCAGGCACAAGGAGGCTGGAGCTGCAGCCTAGAAAATGTGGAGGGGTGAAAAAAGGCACGTGTGAGGCAAGGAGGGGGAAATTCCATAGAGGAGGATGGGGACAAACAGTGACAGAGGGTACCCCTGGCCTCCCCTGAGCACCCTTGGCGGTGTTTTACCAATCTTTCACAAGTGCAAGGAGGAAAATGCTGTTAGAGAACCTTTTCCTGGGATGCCAGGCTCCACTGGGGGAGCCTGGCACAGAAATGGGGCGAGGAGGGAGCTGAGTTGTGGCAGTTGTGTTGCACAGGTGGATATTTCATCCCTGAGGTATCCTCCCCCCTTTCCCCACTCCCAGCAGCCCATTGCAGGCACGGGGAGAATGGGAAAGGAAAAAAAGAAAAAAAAACAAGAAATGAAGCATTTCCCAGCACCCCTGGAATGATCCATGCCTTGAGGGGTGCATGTGGGTGTCAGAACTGCAAGGGACAACGAGTCCTTCCCATTTCCATTTGTCCCTGGTGATTCCTGAGCACCTTCCTGAGGGGATGGTGGGGAAGGGGTGTCCTGTGTGCCAGGGGAGCTGTGTCAGGCCAAAGTGAAATGGGAAGTTTGCTCTGCAGCATCCAGCCAGTATCTGGTGCATAACCCAGGACTATTGAGCTGAGCTTGTTCTGTCTCTCCCCGAGTGAATTTTTCTTTTTGTTGGCAGAATTCTTTCAAGTGGGTTAATCCATGGGGGGAAATCTTCCTTAGTCCAGAAGGAAGGAGTGTTGTGCAGGGAGGGGGTGGTGGCTCCTCATGGAGCAGCAGCTTTGGAGCTGTGATCTGCAGTCACTGCCCCCACCCCTGAGCGATCCCAGGGGGCTCTGGAGGAGTCATTTGATGTTCACTTGGCAGGGAATGGAGCAGAGACTCTCCTGAGGGATCAGGGTGGAGTTTAGGGTTGGATCCTTGTGCTGAAAGCCAAGCCTGGTGAAGCAGAGGTTGTTTTGTTTTTGTTCTCTCTCAAAGCTCTGCTCTTGACAGCCTTGGAGAATTGAGGTGGAGTTGGGGACCAACCTGTGCAGAGGTGGCTTCTGCCCTCACCCTCCTGCTCTGGCTGTGTAAAGCTGCTCCAGCTTTTGTTTTGGGCTGTCTCTGCTCCTGCCAGCCACGTTCCCTCAGTGACAAATCCAGTACAAATCAAAAACCCCACAGCACCTGCTGTCCTGTGGACTCTGGCACTGACCTGGTGCCATCTCCCTGTCCCTCCATTGAGGATCCATGGCAATTTGTTGGGTTTTGACTAGTGGGAAGCAATTCCTGCTCTTCAAAGAGCTCTTTATTCTCCACAGAGCCTTTAAAGGAGCTGGGAGAGGTAAGGGATCATCCCAAATCCTGTGAGGCTGAGAAGAGCACGCAGGGCTCGTGGTTTGATGTTGGTATTTGGAGTGACTGCTGATCAAAAAGCAGAATAAAAGGCAGGGCTGTGCAGAGAGCTGCTCTGAGAAATGCCAGCCAGGTGGAAATGGCTTTATCCATTCACCTGGGACAGAAAAGGACAATGCCCCATCAGACCTGGCTGCTTTTTACTGGTCACAGGTGTTGGGTTTTTAATGGCAACCAGTCCAAGCTTGAACAGGGCGAGGTCTTAATCTGCTTTTAATTGGTTTTGTCCTGTTCAGCCTCGTGCTCAGAGCCTGGCCCTGAGCCCTGGTGCAGCCCAGTGTGGCTGTGCCTGTCCCCAGCACCCAGAGAGCTCCCAGGGGAGTGGCTGTGATGGCTGAGAGGAGAAATGGGGCCTGTGCAGCTCCCGTGTGTGTCCAGTGAGCAGGAGCAGCTTGAGCTGGGGGCTGGCAGGAATTTGGGATCAGTGCTGGTGACACTGAGGGACACACTCAGAGATAACCAAAGAACTTCCCTGCTGAGCTGAGCCAGGTGGGGCCTTTGCCCAGGAGAAGGGGAGGTGTGGCCCATGGGAGCTGCTGCTTTCCATGGGCAGCAGCCTCAGGAAAACACGGACAGCACTGAGTTTTCCTCCTGTTTTTGGTGTCCAGCCTCGGGTCTGGGCAGCTGTGAGCACCCTTGAGTTTACATCCCCCCCTCGACCCCAAAGCTCAGACTTGAGTAAGTTTTAAATTGTTTTTGCTCTGGTGGATTGTCTGGTGTGAAATCCTGACCCCTGTAAGAAATATTCAGATGATAATATATACAAAGCAGAAAAAAGAACCCCCAGACGTTACCTTGTGAAATATACTTTTGTAAATAATATTTAATTTTTTTTAAAGAAATAATATATTTGGTGCTGTTTTCTCAGAGCCCCTCCCTGAGAGCACTTTTTTTTTTTTTTGTCGTTGTTGTTTATGATGAGCCTGTTTTCCTTCTGTATTTGTTGGAAAATATGTTTAAAGGGAAACAAAAAATCCGATTTACGTTGTCCTCTGAAGTGGATCCGTGTTTCCTGTGGATGTGGTGGGGTTTTGGGCTGGGAGGGGCTGCAGGCACTCAGGAGGGCCCCAGGTCCCCTCTGCCTTTCCCTGGGGCCAGGCCCCCTTTGCTCCCAGCAGGAATCCCCCAGAGCCCCTGGGGCTCCCACTTCTCCCTGGGTTGTGGGATCCAGGTCTGGGATTTGCCTTGCACCAGTGCTGGCTGGAGTGAGAAGCTCTGGAGCTGCAGCCTCAGATTCGCAGGGATGGAGGATGGAGCTTTGAACCCAACGCTGATTTTAACCTAAACCACAAATCTTTGGATCCTGCTTTTATTTTTGAGGGGAGGTTTTTTGTTGTTGTTTTGTTTGTTGTTTTTTTTTTAACCAGGCTGCTACATAACAAATTAGAGTAAAAGTTTACCTCTCTTGGCAGTAAAGTTCATTTATTTTGTTCTCCTTTCTGTCTTTAATCTCCCCCCTTCTCGCCCTCCTTTGTTTTTATTTCACTTGGTCTCTTGTTTATCCCAAAGTGGACCAACAGCACAAAGCACTGGACTGTGTTTTGCTGAGCAAGGAGCTGTTCAAGAGCTGTTGCAGGTTCTTTAATTCTCTGGGTTTGGAGAACTTCAAACACCACAGGAACAAAACCAACCCTGCCAGACAAACCCCGTTGTCCTCGTGATGATCAAGTGAGAATTCTCTCTCTCTCTGTGCATTTTTCTGGCTGCTCTGTGAGAGTGTGTGAATCATGCATTTCACTGCACTTCCCTGCTTTGGGAGGAGCTTCCAGGTGAAGCAGTTTTGGGGTGAAGAGGGGACACCAAACACCAAGCTCAGCTCAGTGGGAAGGAGCTCTTCCCACCACGGGAGAGGCCTCAGTGCTCAGAAACAATCAGGTCAGACAGAGGTTTTCTGCAGAAATCCTGGTGAAAAAGAACAAGCAGAAGAGGGGAAACGAAATCATCTTGAATTCAGAAAAAAAAAAAAAAAATCAAAAATCAACATATTTAAATGCAAGCAGAATGGCATTGTGTAAGGTACAACCACAAATAAGCTGTTCTCATCGTTACAACTGTGTGTATCCTTTGTTTTGTTCTTCCTAAGGAAATGGGAATGCTTTCCCCACTGACAAAACTAAGGACAATATTTCCAATACCAGCCTGTCTATGGATGCTCTCGTGTTTACAAATTGTGTATATTTTTATTTCTTTGATCTTATTTTAATTTTTTTTTTTGGCATATTCTTTCAGGTCATTTGCTTCAGTCATAAATGCAATTGTTTGTTTTCAAATAATTGGTTTTCACCTTTTCATGTATTTGTACATTGTATATAGTTCTTCAGTATTAGAGGGAGGCGTATTGTTTGTCATATTTACAATATGTGTTGGTGCTCATTTGAGAAAATAAAATTTTCAAGTACTAAAGCTGCTGGTCCGGGTTTCTGCTTTATTCTGTGCCAATCCCTGAGATCCAGGGGATTTCATCCCAAAGGGGATTTTTATCCCAATCCAGGGGATGGGAAACAGCAATTCCTGCTGCCTCTGCCTCAAACACCTGCATAGCCAGGAGGAGAGCAGTGCTGTATTTGGGATTTTGGGATGGATGAATGCAATCCCTGTTCTTCCACTGCTGGAGGTGGCAGGGCCCTGTCCCCGTGCCCTCTGTCCCTGTGCCCTCTGTGCCCTTAATTCCCCATTTAAAAAAGCCACTTAACCCTGTTTGGGGACAGCCCAGGGGCTGAACTCAGAGCCCTGACCTGGGAGTGAGCTCAGGCCACGGCCCCAGAGCTGCACCTGAGAGGAGCTGGAGGATTCCGGGAGGATGGAAAGGCCAAGGAAGATGGGATGGGAACGATCCCATGGCCTGGGCAGCGGGACAGGCCCTGCAGTGGGGTCAGAGCTCTTGCTTTCACCAAAACCTTAATTTGCTCCTCTTGGTCCCACACCAGCCTGGGACTCTCTGGGTGTGTCCCTAAGGGACACTGTCCCCGCCTTGGGGACGCGGGCATCCCAAAATTGACCTGCAGGTCTGTGTGGGCAGCTCCTGGGCTGGGCCTGTTCCTACAGCCCCACTGGAAAAGCCCCAGGGTTTTAACCCTGTGTGGTGCGGGCAGTGGGAATCCCCTGGAGCAGGGAGGGGCTCCACAGACCTGGGGACATTTCTTGTTCCCCATCCCAGCCCCGTGCGTGGCTCCTCCTCGCCAGCCCAGCCGCAAATCCTGCAGGAAAATCCCGCCAGGAAAAAGCGTCCGGCTCAGCAATTCCCAGCCGAGCGTCCGAGTGACAGCAAGGGGGACAACTCCAGGCTGTCCCTGAGTAGTGGCCTTGGGAGGAGCCTCCAGACCCCCATGGGATGGTGGAAAATGCCAGCACCGCGTGGAGCGGGGACATTCCCGCATCCCGGGGCGCGGAGGGACCAGCGCGGCTGGGGATGCGGGACAGCCCCTCCCGGCTCCTTATTCACCTGCAGGCAGAGCCGGGCCGGGCCGAGCGGGGCTGCTGACAGACGGCAGAGAGAGCTGACTCAGGCGCGGGCCCCGGCAGCGGCTCTGAAAGAGGGAGGGATGGATGGAGGGGATGGATGGAGGGGATGGAGGGGATGGATGGATGGAGGGATGAGTCCCCGGTCCCCGCGGGGTGACAGCGCTGCCGGGTCACCGTGACCTTCCCCGTGGCCAGAGGACAGGCTATAAAGAGCGGCGGGGCCGAGCTTGGGGCACCTCCCGACTCCTCTCCCATCCCACCACAATGAGGGATTTTTTTATTTTTTTCAAAGGATGATCACGAAGCTAAAAATACAGCAGCGCCAGTGGCCTTTAATCCCGGTTCAAGAGCAATCTGACACTCCTGCTCTGCTTCCCAGGCGGATTTTGGGACGCAGGGATGCTGCCAGCTGCTCCTCCATGGCTTCACTCGATCCCTCTCCTCCTCCTTCACTCGGGGTTCAGCCTCACGATGCCCCTGGGCTTCCCCAGCGCCTCCTTTCCCAGCGGGACCCGGCTCCCTCCGGGCGCATTTCTGGCTGACAGGGAGGAGGATTTACAGTAGCGCCTTCAGGCTGCCAAACACGCCGGGGATATTTTTACCCGGCTCCAGGCTGGGGTATAAATAGAGCCCGGGCCGTTCTCTGTTGCTGACCAAGAAATGTCCCAGAGAAGCGGGGCAGGCACGAGGGAAATGTCACCCCTGGGGGGGCTCTGGGGGAAATAACAGAGCCCTGCTGCCACCCCCTCCATGTCACCCCATGAACACAGAGCGCTGCTCTGTTCTGGGGAATCTGGGGGTGCTGTGAGCACAAACTTTGTCCAGGGATGGGCACCTTTAATTAAACCTCTCCAGGATTAAACCCCTCCATCCGTCAGGGCACCCCAGGTCTGTAGAGGGGATCCTCGGGGAGAATGAAGGACAGCGGGGACAGGGAGTGACAGACATCACCAGCTCGACTTCTGTGAAAAAACAAACCAAACCCCAAACCCATGGAGCTGTTCCAGGCTGGGCTGTTATTTATGGCTCGGGATCAAGCAGCTGCTCCCGGCGGGGGCTGCCCCGCGCTGCTCCACAGGGAAAGCTCCTGCAGATGATTGTTCCCAATGTATGGAAACTTCTGATGAGGTGAAGGGAAATGCTGGGGGAAAAAAAAATCATAAAATCCTTTACCAGGGCCCAACCTCGCCCCATGGAGCCGTGCCCCGGGGTGAAGGGCTCTGAGCAAGGCTTTGGATGCCTGACAGAAACAGCAAATGCTATAGGAGGCTTTTATAGAGCTCTGCTTCCTCGTGAAAGCCAGGCTGGCGTTTTCTTTTCCACTTGGACGAGGATTTTCCCATAATTGTGCTATTTTTATGGAGGTTTCAGACAGAAACACAGGGCCTCTCCCAGGCAAGCCCTGGTGCATGGGAGGCCTCAGCCTCTGACGCAGGCTCCCCCGGCTCTGCCAAGGGCCTTTGCTGGCAGATGTCTCACCCTGTGGAAATGGGGGATTTGCTCCATCTCTGCCTCACAGGGATTTTTCTCTTTTGGAGTTTCCTGCACTGTGGTGCAGATGCTGCCTGAACCAGGGGGAAGCAACAGAGCCTTCGTGGCCCAGAACGGGGGCTCAGCCAAAACTCCTGCTCTGAGACACAAAAATGAACACCTCAGCAGTCAGTATCAGTTTCTGACACACAAGGGGCCCTTGTCTCCCCCAGGGCAGCTCATCAACACCCCAATCTCTGCTGATGAGGCAAAGGCTGGGGAAACACTCGGAGCGATGGCTGAGAGGCCACTGAGGCCAGCAGCTGTGCCCATCACCGGTGCCTCCCCCAGCCCCCAGGTTTTGCTGGTTTCTGGGGATATTTTTGCTGGGAGGGAGCTTTTTTTGGAGTGGTGCTGCTGCTGGAACCTCAGCTGGGTTTTGCTGCTCAGTTCAGTGGGAAGGAGCCAGGTGGGAGCAGGTTTTATGGGGAGGAAATGAAGTGGCTGAAGGGTTGAGGCTGTGTTATCTTTAATTTGAGCCGGGATTTCTGTCTGGCTGTGGGATTTGAGCTGGTGCTGAGCTGCTGTGGCTCCGTGTGCCCGGCTGTGGGGGCAGCAGGACGAGGCTGTGATGGGGGACTGTTGATGCAAATCCTTTTGCAGGCTTGTGGAGGTGAATTTGATCTTTAGAAGCCTGGTGGGAACGAGCTCTCCCGGGCTTGGAGCTGCCAGCAGCCGGCCAGCTCCGCTGCCGGCGCCTGGAGCCATTAGCAGGGCATTAATAATGTCCTTTATTAGATCACAGCCACGTCATCAGCTGCACTTGGGGATGTGGCTGCTGGCACGTCCCTTCCCAACCTGCCTGCTCCTCTGGCTGCTGTGGGAGGGGATTTTTTTCCGTGGGTTTTCAGCAGTTCTTTGCTCTGGGATCCATCCTAAGGAGGGGCTGGTTTTTTACCCAGTTCATCCCCAGGTCCTGCTGGCCTCAGATACACAGGAAGTTTTTTTTGGCTCTGTTTGCTGTCAGCAGGAGAGGGTCTGTGAGCTCCTGAGTGAAATCCCTTGTGCCAAACCTAAATTCCCCCCAAAATACAAATAATTCAGCCCAAACTGGGTTCTTGTGCTCTTTGCACCTGCCTTGGACCAGGCCAGGTTTTGCTTGGGTTTAGTGAAGCTGCTCCTGTGAATCCCCATCCCAGCCCAGCCCTGAACTTGTGCATTCCATGCCCGAGGGTCCCAATCCAAAACTCTTTGGGAACCAGGCAAGGTTCAGGCCTTAGGAAAACCCTGCCCTTGCTGGAGCTAACGGGGACAGGGCTCCTTTTGGATTAGTTGCCCACAAGCAAGAAAAGCTATTTTGAACCAGAGGCTGGGAATGTTTGAGCTAATCCCAGGTGGAAGCTGATTAAGGGCTCGTGGGGGGAGATTTGGAGCAGATCCTGGTGGCACAGGGAGCTCTGCCTGGCCAAACCACCCCAATCTCCAAGGAGTGAGAGGAGGCGAAGCTCAGCCCAGACATTCCCGAGGCGTTGGAGGGGATTTCTTTGCACAAACCCTTGCCAAGGTCTGTGGAGCTCAATCCTGACCTTTGGCAGCTGTTGGGTGCTGGGAAGGGGAGAGCTCTGTGCTCCTTTCCAGCCTGGTGAGCAAAGGGATCACAGGGGCGCCTTCCTGAGCCCTTCAGCTCCGTGCCACCCACACCAGGGAGCTGGCAGTGGCTTCATCCTCTCATATCCCAGGGAAATATTTCCATTTTGGCCACCATGTTCAGGGGCTTGCCAGTTTTTCTGGTGGAGATTCCCACCCTGGGCTGGGTGAGCTCTGCTCCATGCTCTGAGAGGGCAGTGGCTGTGCCAGGCACCCAAGGGTGCAGGATTTGGGTGGGATCTCCAGGATGCAGAGCCCTAACCTGCCCAGACACAGCTTTCCCCAAAGGGAAGGTGCTGCAGGGCTCGTTCCCATTCCCATGGCTCTGTCCATTCCACTGTGCCAGGCACGGGGATGTCACATGTTCCACAGGAGGGTGGCACAAACAGCAAATTTTGGGTCAGGTGCCTTCAAGCACTTGGAGGAGGAAATCTTCAAGGCAGCCATGGGGAATCTTCCCAAAAAGCAGAGCAAAGCCACCACGTAGGAAGGGTCCTGCAGATCAGAGCTGCAGGTTGGGCTCTCCTGAATTAAATATTTGGGTTTTATCCACCTTGCCCAGCCCCGGCCCAACAGCAGCCCCTTGTTTGAGACTCACAGAAACACGGCCCAGAAAAGAGATTCCTTGCAGCTCCTGAAACCACAGAGCTTCCTCCACACAAACCCTGAATTCTTCCCCACATCCTGCCCTGGGCAAACACTGAGCAGGACTGAGAGCAAACAGCACCAGGTGTAAACACAGCAGCGTTTCCTCTCCAGGAAAATATTGACTTGCCTCTCTGGTCACTCCTGGACTGAAAGCACATTTGGAGCAGCTTTTAAGG